GTTATTCATTCTAATAGTAGCTATATTTTTGGATTGTTCATGTGCACAGACTCCAGAATGGCTGGACAGCGACTCCTGTCAGAAGTGTGAGCAGCCTTTCTTCTGGAACTTCAAGCAGATGTGGGACAGTAAGAAGATCGGCCTCCGACAGGTACGTCCTCCACCTCCAACCTTAACTAACACTTTTTTAGGACGTCATAGAACAGAAAGAAGGATTGGGATGTCAGCTTTCTCTGATGAGCCAGTTTTGGAAAGCCTGAAAAGGCTCCTCCAATTATTCCAGCAAAACTTTCCTTGGATCTTTTTCTTCTGCTGTTCTGATAGAGAGCAAACTTCCTGTGGCTGTTTTATTGCCGTATTCTCAGAAAAGCCTCCATATTGTGATTCATTCTTCTAAGTGTTTTTCCACATGCAGCTGAACTACCAAGAAAATGACGATGGTGTTTGTAGAGATATTATCAGCAAGAAAATGGCTAAATAAATTGAACCATACCCAACCAAACCGTTGTTTTCTAATTGGTCTGGTGGTTTGATTGATCACAGCTAATCAATAATTTATTCTGGATTTAATTTGAGCACAAATGGTTGCTAAAATAATGACCAACCTCCTCCCAAAGGTCTGGATTTTGTATTGTAATTCTCATTAATATTTTGTTTGCAATCATCTCCAAAACTCCCAAAATAAACATGCATTACATTTCCAAACCAGCTGCATTAGTGTGAATGATCTGAACTTACATCTGGCTGATTCTGCCTCACCATTTCACCTTGCTGAGTTCATTCCTAGCATCACTAGACTCACTGTGTGCTCAATCGGAGTGCAGAAATCTGTAAACAAACCCTGAACCTAAATATTTAGGACACAAATGTTTTATTTTTCTCCAATTTTGGAGGAAATCTGTGTCAATCATTTGTGTGCATGGGTATTATGCAACTGAACAAACCAGCTTTATTCATCTTTCTTGAACTTTCAGTGTAGCAGAAATCACAGCTTTACTGTTCAGAGGTCAGAGGTTAAATCTTTTGATTAAGAAAGATGCACAAGTTCTTATAAAGTTCATTTTTTTAAGAAAAAGGTTTTTATATATTATTTTATCTTCAATCCTTTGCTGGTCAGCTATGTTTTCACTTGCTTAATAAATGAAATAAATGTCTGCAAAGTTTGAAGGAGAATGTGTTTAGTCACCCGATGAAAACCAAACTATAAGTTTTGGCCCTCAGTTGCATAAAAAAAAAATATTTTTGGCATAAATAAAATAGTAAAAAACTGAGGCTGCACCCTCTTAGTCAATCCTTAAAATCAAATAATAAATACTGATATGAGCAGTTTTATTTAAAGCATTTGCACGTAAACTACTCTTCATGTGGATTTTCTACGTCTTATGCATGCAGATGCAAAACAGGCCTCCAATTTCTAGAGGTGGGACTTCTTCTATTTTTTTTTTCTTTTAAACAGTGTCCTGTCT